AAGAGGAAGAACATGACAATGATGTCCTCTCAAGTCAGGCATAAAACAAACAACCACCATATGAGAGTTAAACACTAAGCATAGTGCCTCACACACACAAGATGTTTAATTCTTGCTTATTGAAAGAGTTTTGCTCTAGAATAAATTATGGCGATGGAAGGCTGAATCGGGGATGTTTACCCCGAAGTCACTTTCTCCTTCCCCTATTACAACTTCCTTTTTCCTTCCCAGTGCCTTCGAAGAAAATTCCAACCAGCTTCTCGCTCGTCATTAATGTCCACCCTAAGGTTATATATAGCTCCCATACCTCATATTCGAGTCAGAGCAAGCAAGACCCCTGTCGGTCATGGGCTCCTCTCCATATCCTTAGAATAAAGGCCACTTTTACTTTTATATTTTGCTCTTTTATTGTGCCAAAAAATGCTAACACTTATGTTTGTACACGTTTTCAAATTTAGAGATCTTATCTAAGCCCCACATTTTTCTCTTAAGAATAGTTCAGCAAGATATCTATGGTTAAAACTTCCCTTACATGAAGTATTTGCCCCTGGTTACTTCAAAATTCCAGCATGATTTGGTGCAGATTAAATGTTAGCTCACCAGGAATTTAGCTCAGTGGCACAAGCACCTGCCTGGCAAGTACAAGGTTGTGAGTTTAATTCCTGGTACTCAAGAAATGAGAGAGAGGGAGAGGAGAAGAGGAAGACGGAGGGGGAGGGGGAGAGAGCGTGTGTGTGAGAGAGAGGTCTTAGCTAACTCTAAAATTTGTAAGGAAAGGTAAAGGAACTAGAGGAGCTAAAACAATTTTGGAACCTGGGCATGGTGGTACACTCCTGTAATCTCAGCACTTGGAAGGCTGAGGCAGAAGAATCATTTGCAAGTTCAAAACCAGTGTAGGCTACAAAGTGAACTCAAGGCCAGCCTGAACTGCATAGTGAGAACCTGCCTCAAGAAGATAAAAATAAATAAAACAACTTTGGAAAAGAGGAAAAAGTGGAAAAATCACATTATCTGATTTGTTTTCAGTGTTCTATATTGAACCCACTGAACTATCCCCAGCCTTTTCCTTTTTTTGTTTTTTAAAATTTATTTGAGAAAGGAATTTATAATACTCCCACCTCAGCTTTATACCTTATAGTTCACCCATTTAAAGTGATTTCAAAAATGAATTTTTAAGAAAAGAAAGTGAGTTCAGCTGGCTGTGGTAGCAAACACCTGTAACCCCAGTACTTGGGAGCTTGAGGCAGGAGAATCACTGGGAGTTCGAGGTCAGCCTGGGCTACACAATGAGGGCAAGATAAACCTAAATTACATAGTAAGACCCTGTCTCAAAATAAAGAAAGAAAAGGCAAGGAGAAAAGAAGAGTTGAGTTCAGAGCCAGGTTTGGTGGAGAATGCTGGTAATCCCCATGCTATGGGAGGTTTTAACAGAAGTGTTAAAAAAGTGAAAGCTAAAAGTTAAAGCCTTGGGTAGGTGATATAGTTCAGCAGCACAGTGTCTGCCTGGCAAGCACAAGGTCCTGAGTTCAATTCCTCATGCCAGGAAAAAAAGTTCTAGCCCAGCTTGAGCAATTTAGCAATTTAGTGATACTGTCTCTAAAATAAATAGGTCGCAGATGTATCTCAATGTGAAGCCCCTGGGTTCAATCCCCAGTACTACTTAAAAAAAGAAAAAAGTATATTCAGATTAGTGAGTTATAGTTTATCTATAGTCACATAACCAACATCATAGTGCAATTCCGAGTATTTGCATCACCCTAAAAGAAAACCCATATCCACTACAGTCATACCTTCTGAACACACCAAATTAAACAAAACTTAACTTATTTCTGTCACTATAGATTTGTCTAGTCTAGATTTTTAATTAATTAATTAATTAGTTAATTTTAGCACTAGTAATCGAACCCAGAGACTTTGCACTGAACTGTATCTCCCAGCCCATTCCCTTCCTTTTTGGGGGGTTAGGAGGGTTTTGCCATGTAGTTCAGGCTTTCAGGCTGGCCTTGAATTCATTATGTAACATAGGCTGGCCTAGAACTTATGGCAATTTTTCTGCCTCAGCCTCCTAAATGCTGGGCTCATAGGCATGTACCACCCAGCTATCATCAACCCTCTTTATTTTTTATTTTGAAACAAGGTCTGGTTAAATTTCCCAGGGGCTAGACTCAGATTTGCAATCCTCTGGCCTCATTTCCTCAAATTCTTGGATTACAGGTATATACCACTCTGCCCAGCCATTCTGGACATTTCATAGAAATGGAATCATACAACATGTGGTCTTTCCTGTCTGGCTTCTTTCACTGAGCATCTTTTCCACATTGTATTAGTATTTATTTTATTTTTATTTTTGTCTTTTTGGGATAGGGTTTCACTATGCTGTTCAGGCTGACCTTGAACTTACTTTGTAACCCAGGTTGACTTTGTACTTGCAGTGATCCTCCTACCTCAGACTCCCATTCATTTTTTTTAGTAGTTGAGGAATATTCCATGGATAGATTATATTTTATTCACTGGTTAATGGAAATTTGAGCCTTTCCACTTGTGGTTGTGATGAATAATGTTGCTATAAAGATATGTTTCCATATTTCTTGGGTATATATCTACAAATACAATCGCAGGATCATATAGTAACTCTGTTTAACTTTTTGAGGAACTGCTACACTGTTTTCCAGTGTGCACCATTTTACATTCCTACCAGCACTTGTTATTTTGCCTTGCTAATTATGACCATTCTACTAGGTATAAAGTATATCTCATTATGGTTTTGATTTGCTAATTGCTAATGGCTGTGAGTCTTTTCATTGCTATTGTATAGCATAAATTGGTTATTCATATGTCTTCTTTAGGGAAATGTCTATTAAAATTTTTTGCCCATTTTTTAATTAGTTGTTTATTTTTTAGTTCTAAGACTTTTTGGGGGGATAAGTTTTTGTCTTGGTTTGAGTGCTAGGGACTGAACAAAGAGCCTTGCTTATACTAAACATGCACTCTACCACTGAGCTATATCCCAGGAACTTTATTTTGGTAAGTTCTTCATTGGATATATTGTTATTAAATACTTTCTCTCATTCTCTGAGACATTATCCAACTTTAATACTTACCATAAAGCTGCAGTACTCAGAGATGGGTATAGGAACACACTTTTGCAATCCAAGCATTCTAAGAGGCAGTTAGAAGGTTGCAAATTCAAGCCCAGCCTAGACAACTCTTGATGACCAAGCAAGATCCTGTCTCAAAATAAATAAAAGCCTGGGTATATAGCTTAGTGTGAAGGTTGTAGGTATAATCTCCTACAAAGTAGGAGCTACAAAGTAATCAGTAAGTAAGCTACAAAGTAATCAAAATCAAACAGCGTTAATTATGGTGAAAGACAGACACATAAATCATGGAACAGAATAGAGTCTAAGCCAGTCAAGGTGATTCACATCTGTGAATCCAATACTCAGAAGGCTGAGGCAGGAGGATTGATATAAATTTGAAGCCATTCTAGGCTACATAGACATCAAGGCCAGCCTGAACTACATAGTTAGCCCTTACCTCAACTGACCTGTTTGTGTCCCTACCAACAGGACAGGATGACAGGCTAACCAAGCAGAGTTCATCTCATGTGGTATACTCAGTGACTGTAAGGTAGCCCTTATATCAGTCACTGTAATATGAGACAAATATTCCTTGTGGTTTAATTTTACACACAATAAATTGATTTATTTGGTTTTTACTGTTCTCTGATTTGTGTGTGTTTGTGAGGAGCAGAGTAATAGGGAATTGAACCCAGGTATTGGCACTGAACTACATTTCCAGTCCTCTATTATTTTGAGATGGAGTCTTGTTAAATCACTAAACTGCTCAAACTGGGCTTGAATTTGAAATCCTCCTGCCTCAGACTCTCAAAGCATAGGGATGACAGGGCTTTGACAGCATTCCTAGCATGGTTTAGGAATTTGATACATGTATAGATTTGTGTGACAGGACACAGAACAGTTCCATCATCCCACAAGCTCCCAGCCTAACCTCAGTGCTGGGACAGCAGAACACTTGCTGTTCTTGGAGAAATTCAGGAGGGCACTGGGAAAGACAGCAACCCGCTCACCTCCTTGGTAAGCAGCTGTGAGCCTACCCGCGAGCCAGCTGAGATCAAACATTCCATCTCCCCCCTATTAGCAAATGGGAGCCAGAGATCTGAGCATCTCTCTTGGGAGGTTGACCCTATGCAAAATAGCAAATATGGGGGATTTCCTTCTACCATCTCTTTGAAAGCAATATTGTTATCACTGTTTTTGCTTTGTTCTGATTAATTGTATTGCTCTATTCAATAGTCTGTTTTGATAAGTTCTATAATGTTCTGTATTTAGTTTGATTTTGCTATACCTGATTGAAAGGACAACAATTGTGAAGATAAGGAGTTATACTATGGAACCTATTACTGTTATCCCTGTAACCTGCGTTGACATTCTGTACCAGTTTCACTGCATTGTCTCATTTGGCTTTGTTCTGTCTTGTTCTGTTGCATTTTACTACCTTCAAAAAAATAATTTAAAAAAAAACAAGAAATTCAGGAATCACAGAGAGATGCTAGAATGGGATGGTACAGGAAGTATTGTAAATGTCCCTAAGAAGGGTACACATTGGGTCCCACTTGGCCATTCTGAAATGGCTAACGGCAGTGCAGAGCTGGACTTCAAAGGCAGAGATGACCTCCTGGAAGACTGGGCCCCTATCTCTCTTGGATTCCTTGTCAGATTATGGCCAACACCCCCTCCAAGGTCAAGAGGGTGAAGGAGCGATAGCCCCTCACCCTGCAGGCCCACCAGGCCCTGGCTGCTCATTGTCACTGGGTCAGATAAGAAACCCCACCTCTTTGCCCCCTCCTCTTTCCCAACCAATGACCACAGCCTGGCTGGGCCCACAGCACTGTGCATATAAGAGGATCTTGGAGAATAAGCTCCACGAGGCCAGTCCTGAGAGTGTCCAGCTCTAGCACAGCTGCCCACTCTACCACCATGTCTCTGACCAAGAGTGAGAAGGCTATCATCATGTCCATTTGGGACAAGATGTCCATGCAGGCTGATGCCATTGGCACTGAGACTCTGGAGAGGTAAGAGCCGGATGGGATAGGCTGAGTGACCAGGTCAGAGACCAAAGCAAGGGCAGTGGGAGGAATCAGAAGGAGAGGTTGGTTAAGATGAGCAGTGAGAATGGGTCAGTGAGAAAGGCTACTGAAGAGGAGGGTGAGTTGGAATAGCAAGTATGGAGAGAGAGGATGGTGAGAAGGCAGTAGGAGAAGTGAAAGGCAGGCATGAATCCAGTGATCCAGCACTCAAGTGACTGGAGCCCGAGGGTCACAAACCCAAGCTCAGCCTGCACTACATAGTGAGTTCAAGGCCTGTCTCTACTACAAATTAACACCATGTCTGAAAAACACAACAGAAGGAGGAGGTCAGGGGAAGGGTCAGGATCAGTGGGTGGAGTGGAGAGGGTGAGGGAAAGGTTCAGAAGAAAGGTCAGTGAGGAGGGGATGGAGAGAAAGGGTGAGTGAGAGAGCGGGGTCAGGAGGGCCAGGAAGGGTGGCCTGCATGGAAGGGACATGGAAGAAGGGATGTGGAGAAGGGTGTCATGGGGCTGGTGGTGGTGAGGCGGGGTGGTGACGAGGTCAGTAAACTGACGAGGTGGTGGATGGAGAGGGAAAGAAGCTGGAGGCAGAACTACCTCACGGGGCTCACTGACGCCAACCAATATAAAAGCTGAGCAAATGAATGCATGAACTCATGATGGGCAGTGGGGCAGAAACAATGCCTTGCCACACTGGAGCCTGGGCAACAGGAAAAATAGGCAGTACTCATCCTGTCTTTATTTAGAACTTTAATATTCAACATTAACTGATTTGCATTAGTTTAAGATTTCATTAAAATATGATTTTAACTTACAAGATGGGTGATTGACTGACAATGCATTTATATGCTTAAGACTGGCTTCTGAATTTGGGGAAATCTCCACGTTTGAGGCCAGAAAGTGCTTGGGTCCGGGCACCCACCTCATCTTCCAAACTGAGGCCGCCAGGCTCACACTTCCTCACACACACACCCTCCCTCAGGCTCTTTTCCAGCTACCTGCCGACCAAAACTTACTTCCCCCACTTTGACCTGCACCCGGGATCCCCGCAGCTGCGCACGCACGGCTCCAAGGTGGTGGCCGCCCTAGGCGATGCGGTCAAACACATCGACAACATGGAAGTCGCGCTGACAAAGCTGAGCGAGCTGCACGCTTACATCCTGCGTGTGGACCCCGTCAACTTCAAGGTGTGTCGAGTGGGTGGGGACAGACACAGGTTGGAAGTTCTTCAGCGCTGGGACCGAGGTGGTGGGGTCTCAGTTACTTGCACACGCACAGGCACCGCACAGGTGTGCAAGGAGACCTGAGCCGCCTTCTCTGCCCCCGCAGCTCCTGTCTCACTGTCTGCTGGTTACGCTGGCCGCGCGCTTCCCCGCCGACTTCACGGCCGAGGTCCACGCCGCCTGGGACAAGTTCATGTCTATCGTGTCCTCCATCCTGACCGAGAAGTACCGCTGAGCACCCAAACCCTGCACTGGCTGCGCGACCCCCGCACCACCCTCAGCCTTCCTCCTTTCCTCGCCCGAATCCCCAATAAATGGATGAGACTGGAACAACTGGGTCCTACCTTGTCATTACTGGGGGAGGAGGAGAGAAAGTGAGGGATGTTCTGGGGCCTCTCAAGAACGCGGTCACCCGGGGTCGTCCGCCTGCTGGAGGATATTCCGGGGTGCCTAGGGAGCTCCTCCTCTCGGGAACCCCAGATCACAGCGCAGTGGGAGCAAGCTTCTCCCACCAGCCACATATTGTCTAGGGTCCTTGGGGCAGAGGAGTTTTTGCACATCTGCCCACCCGAATCGCCCACCGACCACGCTTCACTCGGCGTGGGGGATGATTGTCGGGACTGCTCCTCCACGCGAGGTGTCACCAGCTCCCACAACCTTACAGTGTCCATGTCTCAGATGCAGTCCCACAAAGAGAGTCGGTGTCTCCTGTCCCTAGTCTCTCTCTAGCTGGGGCTCTGCCTCTGTCCTGTGGTTCCCTCAAGGGCAGCACAACTCTGCCCACAGGGGAGTGATTAAAGACTCCCCCCACCAAACCTGCAATACAGGCGCAGTTCTTGCCCGACCCATGAGGGGGCCGAGGGTCCCCACATTCCAGGTTCCAGTCACCCTGAAGTCGATTTTAGCAGGTGGAGCGACACGGTGTGCGGGGTGCTCTACAAGGAGGCCTAAAGGTAAACAAGACTCTCAGATCACACCATGCTCTGCCCCCTGCCAGGAATGTGCCCATATTGTATAGGTCTGGAACCTGATCTTCGGCCACATGGTGTACTTCCAGGCAGAGTTGCAGCTCAGATGAGTGGGGGAGGATCTCTGGGAGATGGGAACAAGACACAGAACCCACCAAGGGCCAACCAAGGTTCCACCCACCTCTAGCAGGTGACAGGGCTGGAATGACCCATATGGCTGCAGCGTCCAACAAATGATCTGCTTCCACAAGCTCTTTACCTCCTACCTTAGACCCATATCTGCTTTCCCACATCTAGGTCCCTGCCAGTAGCAGAAGCAACTGGTGAATCAGGGACAGCAGGTGCTCTTGAGGTGGGTAGGGTTGCTCAATAGGTAGACAGTCTTTGCCTCTAGGGTGAGGGTCTTGTACAACCTTAGGCCTTTGGTGAAGGTAGGCAAGAAGAGACTCTCTCTCACCCACCATCTCTGAAAGTCCTAATCCAATGTTGCCAGGTGGCGCTGGCCTTTCGCCTGCATTGAGAATTCAACAGTGGAGATGGTAGCCTTGTGGATCCAGTTTCTCACCAGTGTAGCCTTGGTGCTGACCATCACTAAGCCCCTCATCTCTCAGCCCCTGATCTGTTTGTCACTAAGACAAGGTCTCCTCCAACTTTTGTATCATCTTTAAGAGAGAGCAGGGTGATATCAATGTTCCTGAGCAGAGAAGCTTTGGATCTCTCAGGGAGCCAACCAGTACTACTAAATGCTCACCCAAATGTTTACCCCCCCCCCTGCTGTGCCAAGGGACAGAGGGTGTGCTTGGACCTAGGGTATCTTCAACTTCAGCTGACATCTAGGTGCAGTGCATTCTCACAGCATGCCCACATTCTCTAAGCATTCTCCCTCCCTCATCACTCATTCATCACTAAAGCTGCCTGAGGTCAGTCCTCAGTAGAACACATACACAGAGCTGTTAAATAACAGAAGGAGAAACTGGCCAGCCATGCTGACACAGGACCAAAATAGAGTCCTATGTAAAAGGAAAGAGAGAGACAGAGAGGTGAGGTACTGGAGATATTGGAGGAAGGTGCAGAGAGAGATGAGATCTCAGACTTGAAGCAGGCATCTGGAGTTCTCTAAGTCCCAGCCTCTAATGCTATTTGTCTTTCTTTTTTTCTTTTTTCTTTTTTTTTTTTTTTTTGTCTTTTTCTTTTTTATTGGTACCGGGGATCGCCTGCTTGCAAGGCAGGTGCTTATGCCACTGAGCTAAATCCCCAGCCCCGCTATTTGTCTTTCTGAGGCAGGATTTAACCTATGACTGTGGGCAGAATCAAAAAGGTACACAGAGAACAGACAATGAGAAGAGGAAGCACCGGGCACTAGTCTGAGTTACCTCCTTCTCTGACCCTCATTGCATTTCAGACACCCAGGTTAGATTTGTATGTTTATGTGTTTTGTTTATTGAGAAAGGGTCTCACTATGTAACCCAGGTTAGCCTCAGAGTTATGATTTTTCTGCTTCAGTAAGCACCCTAGGGCAGCCTGTACTGAAGGATGACACCTACCCACCTCAAAACAAGGGCCATGTGTAGGTCCCAAGAAAGTCTCAGCAAGGAACCTCCTCTACTAGCGTCACTGGTCATACAAGAGGATGGGGACAGCACCAGCTGGCACTGTTGCCCTTCTCACTGCTTCACCAAGAAGCCCTGCTATATCCAGATGGCCTCTGCCTTCCAGTACAAACACTTCTCCTTTACCCTCACCCCTCCCAGAAATCCACCCTGATCCTCAGACTAACTGACCAGGTCTCCTCATCCACTTTCTCCGGGTTTCTCAAGACCTTCCTGAGTTTTGCACCTGAGCTTGTGCAATGGTGTGAGGACTGCCTCTGCCTGAGGAGACTGCTCTTTTACCAATGTAACCACCATTTAACTGGTGAGTCTTGCATCAGACACAACATTGACAGGGGCTTGTCATCATGAACCAGGACAGTAAGCCAGTGAGGCAGAGACAGTCAGTCACACAACAGGTAGGGGCTGGGGACAAGAGAGACCCCACTGTGCGTCCTTGAGCAGAGTCTGTAGCCAACTCCACTCTGGGTAGGGGAGCTTGAGTCTGAAGCCTCCAAGCCTAGCCTGGACAACTTGTGCCTGGGTATTTCTTTCTTCCCTGTGCCTGTCACTTGGTCACACACAATGGCTTTGGGGAAGGAAAAGAGCTGGAACAACCGAGACTGAGAGACAGAGGGAGGACTTCTGGGAAGGACACCCTTAGGTGTGCACCTCTCTGCCCTAAATGGGCGACACTTCTCTTTCTTCCCATGAAGGGTGGCAGCTGTGTGGACTCTGTTCAGTTAATGTAGCAAGCACAACCAGCGTGCAGCGGGTCTAGGTGCAGGTAGGTGGTGCCGGCTGCCCTCCTGGTCTTGCAGTGAGACCAGCCCTAGGGACTGGGGCAGGCAGATGCCCTGGAGCTGTCGCAATGGAAAAGCACAAAAAAGTACCCTACCAGGCAGGACCACTGGCTGGGGACAGGCATGCAATTTCCAAGGAGGCCCAGGTAGGAGGAATCAGTGTCAGGACGATGGTTCCAGCGCAGAAGGGGTCTGAGCTCCTTACTACACCGCCACTGTTGGACGCGGCACGCCCCCTTTGGACCTCCTCCGCCCGCCCCGCCCCGCCCCAACCAATGAACGTGGCTGTGCAGGGCGTCGCCCCAGAACTCGGGGACTTAAATGCGCCGTGCCTTACTTGTCCTACACCCTTCTGGTTCTGACACAGACTCAGAAAGAATCCACCATGGTGCTGTCTGCCGCTGACAAGAACAACGTGAAGACTACCTGGGACAAGATTGGCGGCCATGCTGCAGAATACGTAGCCGAGGGCCTGACCAGGTGAGGATTCTCCTCTCCTTTGCTCTGACTGACCAGGAACCAACACAACCCCAGCGCCCAGGACACCCCAAATTGCCTTATCCCACAGCTGCCTTATCCCCACTCACCTACTGCTTCTCCCCGCAGGATGTTTACGAGTTTCCCAACCACCAAGACCTACTTCCACCACATAGATGTGAGCCCGGGCTCCGGCGATATCAAGGCCCATGGCAAGAAGGTGGCAGACGCGCTAACCACTGCCGTGGGCCATCTGGACGATCTGCCCACTGCCCTGTCGACTCTGAGTGACGTGCATGCCCACAAGCTGCGTGTGGACCCCGTAAACTTCAAGGTGAGTGCTGAGGCTGAACTGGAAAGGAGCCGCGGATTCCATAAGGTAGAGTCAGGCTGTGTTGCATTGTCTGTAACCACTCACTAGCACTTTCTGTTTCCTCAGTTCCTGAACCACTGCCTGCTGGTGACGCTGGCTGCTCACCTCGGAGCAGATTTCACCCCCTCGATCCATGCCTCCTTGGACAAATTCTTTGCCTCTGTGAGCACCGTGCTGACTTCCAAATACCGCTAAGGTGGAGCAGCCCTGCCCTGGCCCGCTCGGTCTCATGTCAGGCCCTTCTCCCTTCCTTGCACCTGCACCTCTTGGTCTTTGAATAAAGTCTGAGTGGGCAGCAACCCCTGGCCTCTGTGTTCTCTGTGTTCACGATGGTGCCAAGATTGGGGTTGGTCATTGTGTCCTAGAAACATACCAAAGGCCTAGAGCAAAGCTCTCTTCCCCATTGAGGAAGGGAGAAAAAGGAGAGAAGGGGAGAGTAGATGGGAAAGTGGAGCCTGGTGTTCAGGAATTCAGTAAATAAGCCCTTGATTCTGAAAGTGCTTTGCTGGGTTAATTTGTTCATTCTAGAGCTTTGCAGACTCAACATGAGTTTGCTGCACTAATCCATTCATTCTCATACTTCTTGCATTTGCACACACACACTGTGCACAGGTTCAACTCTTCAGGGCTCCTCCAGAAGTGGATGGTGAGGAGTCCTCCCTCCTCACACCCCCCTGATCTTCCTATAACTCCCACATGCCCTTCACAGTTTAGCTGAAACAGGGGGTGATGACAGAAAGTTCTCTGGAGGTGCTACTCCAAGATGATCACTGCTTGGTCAATGATGTCCTAAGGCCAAGGTCAGAAGACTCAATCTTAAGGTCCAGCCCTGTACCCACTCAGCTGCTCTGAGCCTGTAGCATAGTAAGAGACAGAGCTGGGAAGGGTTGGCTGAAGCCTTCCTCCAATGCACTTTCTTCCTGCAGAGTAGGCCCTAGACTTGGGGCCTTAGGAGGGCTTGGGGTCCTGGGCTTGGTACCGTTCCAGCTACAGCCCTTGGCTGACACCAGCATCCTTTCCTTCCTGGGCTCAAAAGTCACCCTAGTAAAATGCCTGTTGCAGCTGTCTGCCCAGATTGGGAGCACTATCTGTGGAATACTTTGAGTTCTGGGTAAGAGGCTGCCCTTTGTTATTATATCAGAAACAAAATGCAGCTCAAGGTGGAAACACATCACATATACATCAGTGGATAAATAGATTAAAAAAATATGGCATATAAATAGAACAAAATATTCAGCCACAAAAAGAAATGAAACTTTTTTGAGACAAGGTCTCACTCTATAGTTCAGGCTAACCTTAAACTCATTATGTAGTCCAGGCTGGGCTTGAATTTGTAGATATCCTTTTCCCTCTACCTCCTGAGTACTGAAATAGGAATGAAGTTCCTAAAGGATGTAGCTGAACCTTGAAAACATGCTGATTGGAGAAAGCCAGACACCAAAGGCCACATTATGTATTTTCCCATTTATTTGAAATACCCAAGATATGTAATTTTTATTTATTTTTGGTACTAGAGATCAAACTAACAACCTCACCCTTGCCAGGCAGGCAGTTGTGCCGCTGAGCTAAATCCCCAGCCCTAAGTGTTTATTAGAGACAGAAAATAGATTAGTGGTTGCTCACTCCTGGAGAAGTTGGGTAGTTACTAATGGGTATAGAGTTTTGGTTTGGGGTGATGGAATAGTTCTGGAACTAGATGGTAATAATGATTGTACAACACTATGAATTTACTAAATATCACTGAATTTTACACTTTTTGAGACAGGGTCTCACTATGTATTCCACTCTTGCTTTGAATTCAGGCTTAGTGCTGGGATTACAGGCATGTGCTGCTATGCCCAACTTTGTACACTTTTAAGTGCTAGAATGATAATTTATGTGAATTTTACTTCAGTTTAAAAAAGTGTGGAGAGTTGAATGTGGTGGCCTACACCTGTAATCACAGCACTTGGGTGGCTGAGGCAAAAGGATCACTGTGAGTTCGAGGGGAGCCTGGGTTACATAAACAAATTCAAGGCCAGCCTGAATTGCAGGAGGCCTTGTCTCAAAAAAAAAAAAGTGTGGTGGGGTATTTGGTAGAATGAGTACTGCACAGGTGCTTACTATTATTTTTTTTTTTTTTTTTTTTTTTGTCTTTTTCGTTTTTATCGGTACCGGGAATCGAACTCACGACCGCCTGCTTGCAAGGCAGGTGCTTATGCCGCTGAGCTAAATCCCCAGCCCCGGTGCTTACTATTATTAAAGGTGCTTACTGTTATTACTGGAACTCATTCTAGACACTCCATAAACGTTGATTTTTCTAAGAGGAATATGCGCTGGAATACAGGCTTTTGACATTTATTATTCATTCAATTTTCACAATGATTCTGAGGAGTTGTTTTCATTTTATATGGGAAGAGTTCAGAGAGGTCTCAATAGTAACACTAACTTTCAATGGCAAAATATAAGCTAAAATTCAGTGTTACTTAATAATAGTAAGTAAATACTATTTTTCATATAGCAAACAAAAATGTGAGGCCTGGAAATTCAGGCCAACTCCAAGGGATAGCTGGGTGGATAGGGACTCTCAGCCCAGACCAGGTTATATGCACTGCAAGAGTGGCGCAAACGCGGCAGGCGCCCCCTGGAGGTCCTGCGCATCCCTTCTCGCAGCGGCGCGCGCACATCTCGCGCGCACATCTCGGGCTGAGCTTATCTGTTGCAGCAGGGATGGCGTTGTCTCCGGCCGAACAAGAAATGGTGCGTGCTCTCTGGAAGAAGATGGGCACCAATGTCTGTATCTATGTGACCGAAGCTCTGGAGAGGTGCGGACAGGACTGGGCGTCCCACAACTTCGCGCCAATCTTCCCACCGCCGCTCCGCGGGGTCGCGCACCACCTGTCCCGGCCACACCCACAGCTACCTTTTGCTCCTCTTGCAGGACCTTTCTGGCCTTTCCCTCCACCAAGACCTACTTCCCGCACTGGGACTTGAGCACTGGCTCCGCCCAGATCAAAACCCATGGCCAGAAGGTGGCAGATGCGCTGACCCTTGCTGTGAATCAACTGTACGATTTGACAGGTGCGCTGTCTGCTTTGAGTGACCTTCACGCCCACAAGTTTTGTGTAAACCCTATCAACTTCCAGGTGAGCCGAAGCTAGCTGAGCAGCTGTTGTGGGGCAAGGGTGGTGTGCTCAAAGATGAACCCAGGGAGGGTGGCCTCTTTGCCTGCAGCTCCTGGGCCACTGTCTGCTGGTGACTCTCGCCCGGCACTACCCTGGAGACTTCAGCCCTGCAATGCAGATGTCACTGGACAAGTTTCTGAACCTCGTGACCTCTGCACTGGCCTCCAAGTACCCCTGAACTGGGTGAGGGTGATAATGGATTCTGTCCTCTCCTCCAAGGTCCCAGCATTTGAGTAAAGTGCCCCCAGACAGTGTGTCACTGCATACAGTATTCTGTAATTGGGATGGGAGGTGCTCTGCCCTTGAGGGGAAGGGCGAGGGTGAGCATCCTACCTCCTTCCTGGACCTTCACCAGGTTTCTCTAAGGTTCAGGCCACCTCTGTTCCTAGAAATTAGGGGCATTAAGTCACATTCCCTATCACAAACCACACACCTTACTTTGGGCCTGGTTATTTCAAGGTGCAGAACTGTGGTAGCATTCATCCCACTGTGGGTGGCAGGTTGATGGATCTTAGGTGGGAGGGAGGCTGAAGCAGAGCTACCAGGACTGCCATGATGTATGGCAGTGGAAACACCAAACGATGACCTTCACTCTCCCTAGGACTCTTCTAGCTCCACAGCATGGCCCTTCATTCACCAAATGGAATCAAGGTTGATATGCTGGGCTCTGTATTGTTAGATGGAGGTGTATCCAAGACTACTGGGTAGCCTGAGAAACTTGGGGATCTACTGGGTAGCCTGAGAAACTTAGGGATCATGCCCTCTGCCAGTGCAGGCTCAACTTGTGTGGAAAGTTTGGTACCAGGGAGGCTTGAGATGAAAGCCTGGTGCACTAGACTCTGGTCTTGATGGAAGAATGTGGTTTGTAAGGCAGAATCTGGTTACTACAGTTATATAGCAAAAAGGTGGCTTGAACCCACCTGGACCCTGCTTTCATCTGACATCTCTGCAAGGATCTAAGTAGGGTTGCTTTAATCTGCAGAGTCAATCATGGTCATTGCAGAAACCTGAGAAAATACTCTACTGGCCCTTCTTGTGTTTCCTGGGTGCAAGGAATGGGTCCAGCACATCCATTATTCCTTCAATTCCCACTTGACAGATGGTAAACTGTGTCCTGTGTGCACAAGAGAAGAAACTGAACCCATATCCTAGAGTACATGAATACATGAAACAGACTGGACCCAGACAGGTAACATACAGGATTTCAGGTCCCTCCTGGCTCAATGAGATAGTTGTCTGTTTTTCTTCAAGAATGGTATCCTCGGCCAGGGATACTGGTGCATGTCAATAATCCCAGCACTGTAGAGGCCAAGGCAAAGGGATTACTGTGAGTTCAAGGTCACCCAGGGCTGAAAAGTAAGTTTAAGGACAACCTGAACTGCACAGTGAAACCCTGTCTCAAAAAACAAGACAAAATAGGTATCCTTAAAGGCAACCGTAATGGCACATACCTGTAATCACAACATGAGGGAGGCTGAAGCAAGAGGATGGCTGCAAGTTTGAGGACCACCTAAGCAACATGGTAAGTTCAAGCCAATCTGAACTATACAAAAAAACACCAAACGATCAAAAAACAAATACCATATCCACCCTGAAATGGTATCAACCTGCATGAGCTAAGGGATGTCTAGGTAGCTCGCAGATTTTTTTTTTGGTGTGGGGTGGGAGGATTGAACTCACAACCTCACGCTTGCCAGTGGCTTACGCCACTGATCTAAATCCCCAACCCCAGAACCATTATTTTTAGTGATGTCTAGTTTCCAGAAGAAACAGACACCACAATCAGCATAGTACAGACAACCCTGCCAATGCAGCAGGGCGTAATTGTCCTTCCATTGGGAGCAAAAATAGGAAAAGTAAAGGATCTAACTCTTTTGCATGAACCGGGACCATCTCCTGCAGGATTTTTAGGCCTCTGAGTTTTGACTGGACTCTCCTAGGCTTGTGTAGACAGTAGACCCTAGAAGTATCCTATAATGGCCAGAGCTGATTCCTCTTAATAACTCTCTATATATCCAATTGTCCTGTTGGTTGTTTCTCTTAAGAACTCCATAATAGGGGCTGGGGATTTAGCTCAGTGGCATAAGCGCCTGCCTTGCAAGTGTGTGGTCGTGAGTTCGATCCCCAGTACCGATAAAAAAGAAAAAGACAAAAAGACAAAAAAAAAAAAACAAACCTCCATAATATAGAATTGAAGTGCAGGAGCTGGAGTCTGTCCTGAAAAACAGATGCCATCAATAAGGGAAAAAAAGTATACTTCTGTCCATGTGTGGTATGCATGTATCCAAGTGCTCTGGGATATGGGTTCAGTTAAAAACAAAAAACCTACCAGGATATGAGACTGAGACAGGAGGCCCTTCTGCAGCACTGGCCCTCAACAAATGCTGCTACCCATACTGGGTCTGCCTGCCAGTCTAGTACCTGCATAATACATGCCAGAGTGGCCTAAGCAGGGTCAGGAAACCTGTGATCACGACTTTGGTACTTTTTTTTTTTTTTTGTCTTTTTATCGGTACCAGGGATCGAACTCACGACTGCCTGCTTGCAAGGCAGGCGCTTATGCCACTGAGCTAAATCCCCAGCCCCCTTTGGTACTCTTTTTATCTCTACTCTCCCCAACCATTTCCTGCCTCCTGCCCAATCCTGAGGGAACCTATGTATGGAAACCAAATGTGACCCTACGCTTACCTCTGCCCAGCAAGCTGAGTCAACACCAGCTGCCAAGCAGAACTATTGTTTTGCTTTTCTAAAAACTACCAGATGGTATATGGAAATTCCCCCAGCATAAGCAAAGAATATTCTAGAATGCCACATCTTGTCTACTTCTGCTAGACTCTAGGGAAGGTGATGCCCCTGGATGGGGAGATCCTGACATGCAGATTTCTCCACCGAGCAAGAATTTACTCCTCAGACTCAAGCAATTCCTAACACTTTCAGGTTTGCAGGGACTGCTGTAGAAAGGAAGGACCACACTGGATGGGAAGGTGCAAATGTGGATAGCCTGCAGCAAAGAGGCTTGATGTAAGTGGCCGATCTGGGGATAAGAAATGGAAGGAGGGGCTGGGTATTTAGCTCAGCGGCATAAGAGCCTGCCTTGCAAGCAGGCAGTCGTGAGTTCGATCCCTGGTACCGATAAAAATGAGAAAAGACAAAGAAAAAAAAGGAATGGAAGGAAAGGGGCTGGGGAATTAGCTCAGCGGCATAAGCGCCTGCCTTGCAAGTGCTCGTGAGTTTGATCCCTGGTACTGATAAAAAGTAAAAAGACAAATAAATAAATAAATATGGGCTGGGGAATTAGCTCAGCGGCATAAGCGCCTGCCTTGCAAGCAGGCAGTCACGAGTTCGATGCCTGGTACCGATAAAAAAAAAAAAAGAAAAGGAAAGAAAAAAGAATGGAAGGAAAAGCCACTGAAGGACAAAGTCAAGACAGCACTGGGGTCAAATGTGGTGCTGTACACCTGTCATCTCAGCACTCAGGGGCCTGAGGCAGAAGGACTGCTGAGTTTGGGGCCAGCCTACCCCAGGTCAGCCTGCACTATATAGTGAGACCCTGTATCAAAAAAAGAAAATTTTAAATTAAAAAAAATTGAACTGGGGGATAAGAGATCAATTTGAACAGAAATACTTGAGAAGGGCACCAAAAAACTATCCTTGCAGTGAGGAGAGAGAAGCACCTACCCCAACTCCTCTCCCACAGTAGACAATGACCCAGAAGGTTGCACTAACTCAAGGCTACCACACAAGGCTGGGGACACTTGACACTACAACCTAAGGGGGCCCAGCTCTGTCTTTAACTGTCATCTGTCAGATGACAGATGAGCAGGCATATAGATTCCTCAGTTCACTGTCCAGAATCTTTGCTGGTATACCGTGTTCCCTGTCGAAACAAAGCAAAACAAGGCCAGGGATTTAGCTCACTGGCATAAGCACCTGCCTTTCAAGCGTGTAGTCGAGTTTGATCCACAGTATCACAAAACAAACAAACAAACAAAAAAATAACTGTCCACTAAAAAGTTTACATCTAGATAGAAAAGGATCGAAACCATTCATAGTGGTAATGGCTCTGAAGGTAGAACTATCTGGCTAAGCCCGAGGAAAATCCAGGTTACAAGGCAAATACTGCCGGCTTAGGTGGCCATGGTCACTAAAAGAATGTCTGTTCAGGAACAGGGAACCCAGGATCAGCTACTTCCTCCACGAAGAACAGGAGCATACTTTTGGGCCCTGGTGCCCATGAGGAAATCTGCACATATGTACAGCAGAGCAGCAACCTAAGAGAATCCCACTCAGATGTCCCTTCCCAACCACCTTTTCTGTTGAGACAGCTGGTTAGGGAAAACCTGTGCCAGGGGCAAGCAGAGCAGCCCATCTACTTACATGTCCTTTTGCAAGGAACTTAAAGCAAAATCAGTACCCAGCTTCAGGAGGGTGGTGTTTATAAGCCCCTTCAGGAGGGTGATGTTTATAAGTATCCAGTGAGCTACCAGGTTAAGAATGACACCTGTGCCTCTGCACACAAGCAGGGAAGGGCAACTCTGTGTTTTACCAATATGACCAACAGAAGTTCCCTCCAAAATCAAATCCTAAAAATATCTATATCCTAGGAAAGTGTAAGGGGGCCAGGCATGATGGCATATACCAATATACCTGCACTCTAGAGGATGAGGCAGGAGGATCACCTCAAGTTTGAGACCAGCCTGAACTACATAGTAAGACCCTGTTTGACAAAACACACTTGAACACACAAAAAGAATGAACTAGGTGGGGTTGGGGATTTAGCTCAGTGGCTTAAGTGCCCACCTTGCAAGTGGGCGATCATGAGTTCAATCCCTGGTACCGATAAAAAAATTAAAAAAAAAAAAAAAAAAACAATGAACTAGGGATATAGCTTGGTGGCACAGTGCCTGCCTAGCAAGCACAAGGTCCTGAGTTTGACTCAGTACAAAAAAAATAAAAAATTTAAAAAAGCCAAATGTGGTGGTGTAATCCCAGCACTTGGGAGGCTGAGTCAGCAGGATCGCTGCAAGTGTGAGGCCATCCTGAACTGCACAGTGAAACCTTTTACTTACACACACACACACACACACACACACACACACACACACACACACACAGTGAAAGGGTAGGAGCTCATATCTGTAAGTTAGCTTCATTTTAGTCCTAAAGTGACAGAGCAGCCTAAGTACTAACAAAAGTAGCCTACCCTTGGGATTAATCATAGCTCAATCACACCCAGATGAATCACAGCTCAATAGTACCCCAGGATATGACCCAAAGCCACCATTGCTTCCCCAGATGACCTCCCAGCTACTGTGTGGGGAGCTCCCATTGATTTTATTTTGCCCCAAATAATTTTAAATGGGGTACTGCAGTGTAGGTGTTCTAACCTGGGAAACTGATCAGCTAGGAGAAGGATGGGGAATGCAGCAATCTCCCTCCTTCCTGAGCCTTCTCTCTAATTTGCACTGAGGGACAGAGATGAAGTAACTGGAGCATGGGACGTAAGCCAGGTGGGCAGTCAGTCGCAAGTACCTGGTACAGTCAGGGTTGTGTGTGGAGAGGGCCCTTGTGTATGTCAGATGCCAAAAGTCAAAATGGTTGAAAAGTTTTCTGAGATGTGAGCAGTACCCATCCTTATTTCCACTGGTTAAGAGTCCTGGCAAAGCACCACTGGAGCAGAGGACAGCAGAGACCCTACTTCTGCTGTCAGAAGACAGTCCGCCAGGTTTATTTATTCCTATGCAACATAACCCCAGAACACAGGAGCAACTCTGCATGACTCTAGAAACTCACAGCTAGCTTCGAACAACAGCAATTTAAACTACAAAAGATGAGTTGTATTCAGCAAATATAAAGGGTAATTTAGGCTATGTTGAACATCTCTCAGTCTATTTACAGTGCCAGGAAAAGGGCTCAGATCTCGCCGGCCTCCTTCTCCTCTGACTTCCGCGAAGTGGCCTTCCCATTGGAGCTCTCCAGCCTCCAGTCGGTGGACCCTCGCTCGCTGCGCCCGTACTCCCAGGATTCCTCTCTCGACATGCGCTCTCTGGAGAACCTGGGGAAGGGGAACCAGAGGCTCAGTGGAGACTACCATCCCACTGCTGGTTAGCTTCTCAGGAAGCAACAGTGTGAACCCTCAACACCAGGGAAAGTCATACCCCACCACAACCCAGGTGGCCTGCCATCTCAGTCTCAATCTACTACACAGGGAATGTCAGGAAGCCATTAAAAGAGATGTTTGCAAAGACTTTTAATAAGAAAAGCTTGCATTATAACATAAACAGAACAAAGAATACAATGAAATTGTACACATGGCATATGATCCACTATGTAAAAATACAATGAAAAAAGCCCAAATAAGTAAGCAAGACCTGGTCATTGTACCTAGAACCCCTGCAGCACCACCTAAAGGTCCTTGAGAGTGCCTTCACAGCCTTCTAAAGTTTCAAACCAAGCCCTGCTCACCACATCCCCAAACCTCAACACCGCCAAGGATAACAGGCTAGGGTTCCCTCTAAGCCCAGCTCTGCCCCTACCAAATGCAGCGGAATAGCTAGACTGACAGACCCCCAGCAGACCCTGGGAACACAAAGAAAAGGGGTTCACTTCTGGTTGCAGCTACTGCAAGGAGTCAGAGTAGTTACTTGTATTTTGCACTCCGGTCCCTGGAAGGCCGGCGGTGTCCCCGGCTGTGACTGCGGGAACGGCTACGGTGACGGCGGTGTCTGTCTCTGTCTCGGGAACGGGAACGAGAAGACTTTCGTCGCTCTCGGGAGGTAGATCTTGATCGCCTCCGACGACGATCCCGGGAGCGTGACCTGGAAAAACCAGAAAAGGCCATAGGCAGAAACTATAAAGCCAAACACAAGGGCCCACCCCAGTGTTCTCCACTCTCAGCAGGTTCTGTCATGTTCCCTCTTTCCTCCCACAAATTTACAACCTTTGCTTAAACTATTCCCATGAGTTAATCTGATGGTCAGAGTGCCCATGAATGATGCATATAAACCCTGGCACTTGGCATTCTTGGCTAGTCTGTAAGCCTTTCATCTCACAGTGAGGAGTCCTTCTCTTACACTAAGGTCCAACCAACACCTAGGCCCTACGATCTTCACAATTCAGCCTAGACTACCAGATAAGGTTGTACAGCTATAAACTTCAAGTATTAAGAAAAATGCTTGCGGAAAAAGGCTTTTGACTGAGAACTCTAATGGATCTGAAAACCTACCTCCATCTGATACCATTCTTGGTTAAAAAAAAAAAAACCCTACCTCCTGCGATCTCTGGTTCTTGATCCAGACCTAAAAAGGAAAAAGACGTCTTATTTTCTAGCTGTTTGACTGTTGTTGGTCTGCAGCAGAAGTGCTACATCTGCTCACTTAATAGCACCTGAGCTCACAGGGAAGGATGCAGTTATGCAAGCTGAAGGGACCTGACTTGTCTCTCTGCACATGTTGAGGGTGAGCAGTGCTGTACCAAACCCATCAGACTACCAAATCTTTCTAATGTTATGGTTTATATCTAGATGTTGCCCTAAAGTCTTGTGCTCCCAGGTAGAGTTTGGGGGAGGTGACTAGATCATGGGGGCATGATACCCTTATCAGTGGATTAGCTCACTGATGAGTTTATAGCTAAATGTGTTGGGAGATGGGCCAGGGGCACAAGCACCTACCTGGCAAGCATGAGATCATAAGTTCCATCTCCAGTACCAAAACAACAACAAACAAACACCACTATTGGGAGATAAACTCCATCTGAGGAGGTGGGTCACTGGAAGTATGGCCTGGACAGGTGTGTTGCCCTCCCTCCGCCCCTGATCCCTCTCTCTGCTTCCTGCTATCACACTATGATCTCTTTCTCTGCCATGCTGCCTTGAAGCCAGCTGACTATAGACTGAAACCTCTACAACCAGTGAGCCAACATAAACCTTTCCTCCTTAGAGCTGTGGGTACCAGGTACTATGTCTCAACAAGAAAGTAACTAGTAACTAAGACATGAACAGTAGCACAGCAGTGCAGTTACAGAACAGAGGCCAGGATGGGTAGGACTCTGCATGTACCAAATTCCAGACACATGCTTCTTGGCAGGCAAGAGTCAAATGGACTCTTTCTGTTACTCATCAGCAAGTGGAAACATGAATGTCACAAGGTCTCATCTCAAGACGCACTGTGCAGTCATTACAGACAAGTGGTGTCACAGATACCTGCAAAAGCCGAGGCCTAAAAATGACTGTATAGAAAGGTTCAATCACAACAGTGAGGGCTACTTCCGTCCAAAAGGGACAGCACATCTCACTCAGTATATTTTAGACACTAGAGTCTCTTCACAGAGTGTATCATAATAGAAACAAAAAAGGAAACAAAAGGGGCCAGGGATATAGCTCAGCAGCACAGTGTGTTCCTGGCAAGTGCAAGGTTGTGAGTTCAAGTCCCAGTACTAAAAAGAAAAAAAAAAAAAAAAGAAACACAGCAAATACTTGTCCTTTTTGGTACTGGGAACCGAACTCTGGACCTTGCAGTTGCCAGGCAGGTGCTGTGCCCCTGAGAGGTATCACCTGAAGAACTTGCCCTTTTTGAATGATACACTCAGGAATTTCCTCAGTGCTTTTTAAATTTTTGTTTTGCTTTGTTTTTCTGAGATAGGACCTCAATATATAATCCAGGCTACCTCAAACTCTCAGCCATCTTCCTGCCTCAGCCTTCCAAATGCTTGGATTACAGGAGTGCACTACCATGCCCATCCAGGAAAGCAATTTTTGAAACTTTAAGGGCAACGAACCATGTCCTTCATGGGAGAGTTGTTAATTCTGGCTCTGACCTCTTTAAATGCCAATGAAATGTAACATCTTGTCTTGGTTACTTTTCTCTCCTTGCTGGAACAAAATACCCCACATGCAAAATGAAGGAAGGAAAGGTTTATTTATATAGCTCACTGTTTATGGAGGTTTCAGTCCGTAATCAGTTGGCTCCAAGGCAGGGTAGAATAGCACAGGGGCAACACTTCATAGCAGCAGACAACAAAAGCAGCCAGAGCGAAAGAGGGGGAGAACAAACCTTTTCTCTTCCTTTAGACTTAAGCAGGCTACCCTACCCTCACCCCCATGGGTGCAACACTCACACTACCTCTGTGCACTCACTCCTCTTACACAGTTTGAGGATATTTACAAAGTAAAGGTCCTGGCTCCCTGCTGAGTCTTAGTTAAATTTCTAAACTTTTCAAGTTGTATCAACCATAACACATCTCTACTTGGATGTCTTTCAAGCATCTTAAATTGAGAGGACTTTGTGGCTGGGGATTTAGCTCAGTGGCGTAAGTGCCTGCCTAGCAAGTATGAGGTCGTGAGCTTGATCCCTGGTATCAAAAAACAAAAAAATAAATAAATATAGAAAAAAATTTGATCCCTACACTCCCACTCTGTCTTCTCCACCCAAAGATTAGCAAATCTGGCCCAAAAATCAAGAGGCCAGGTTCCTCCTTCCTTTAACTATATCCCTTGTTTAAAAAGTAACTCCTGTCAGTTCTGTCCCTACACCACTCAAGACTCTTGCACTAACCAGTTACACTATCACTTCGCACACCTAGACCCTCTCAACCAGCTTCTCAATGATCTTGCTGCTCCATTCCAACACACTGCACTCTACAAAGGGCAGCAGTGTATCTTGTCAACAGATTCCACCTCACCTCTGTTAAATTGTGGTCCCATATCATGCAGTGAACTCCAGAGCCCTAGTCTAACATTCAACCCAAAGCCCTCCTGTGATAGATTTTCTTTACAGCTTGTGTCACCCACAAGATAGCACACTCAGATCCCAGGCAATCAGCTCCTAGTTTCCCTATGTGCTGAAGATTCCATACCCAGAGCTGTGTGCAGCAGGTTCTGTGGGGTAAAGCAGAACTCTCTCCTCAGCTTTTTCCTCTCCCTCTTTTAGGTGGGAACATATAAATCCTGAACTGGTCCATGCTTCTCTAGAATAAATATACTGCACATTTTAATTTTTCTTTTTCTTTTTTTTTTGTCTTTTTTCTTTTTATCGGTACCGGGGATCGAACTCATGACTGCCTGCTTGCAAGGCAGGCGCTTATGCCACTGAGCTAAATCCCCAGCCCCTACATTTTAATTTTTCTTGTAATGGTCACTTCAGTGTTTGGCAGACCTTGACTTATTCCAAGCAACACTGCAACAATGGAGCAAGGGCTTCCTGAGGGCCACTGGCCTTTGGCCCCTTCCATGCTCACCTTCTACTCAGTCGTTCCTCCCGCTCTCTCTCTTCTCTTCTCCTTAGGCGATCCTGGTTTCTCTTCTCCTGCTTTTCAGCCACAGTTTTCTAAATAAATGAAAAATGGGACATGAGGGAAGAGCAAAATCAGCAAAAGAACACTAACAGGTCCATTTTACATCTTATAAATCTAGTGGCAAACTGCATATTCTAAGTGCTGAACTTCTTTTTGTTTTTTGAAACAGTGTCATAATATGTAGCGCAGTCTACCCTCGAACTCATGGCAATCCTCCTGCCTTAGCTTCCCAAGTGCTAAAATTACAGGTGTATACCCACCATGAAGCCTGACAAGATGCTAAGTTTCTAAATCACAGGGTCTTGGTCATATTGTTTCAAACTAACCCAAAAGTGTTTCCATAGCCATAATGGTGAAACAGAAGTGACATGCCTGAACAAGTACATCCTGATGCTGGGAAGGAGCTCCTGGTGCCAAGACATGGCCCTTCCTGCCAGCAATCCCAATATTCATGACGCTGAGGCAGGAGGATCACCACAAATGTGGAATCAGCCTGGGCTATATTCTGCATTCAGGGCCACGAGTGGGACCAAGATGGCAAAGTGGTAAGCAGGACCTTTCTGAGAGCTGCAGTTTAGATGCTGGAATATAGCAGTGCGAGGAAGACAGAAAGGAATGAAGTGGACCTAAGAAAACTCTAAAAGTGCAAATTGAAGCCCACAGAGAGTGAAGACAGAAGCTTCAACCGAAGAAAGGAGGTAGCCAGCGGTGCCTTCTCACTGAGACAGGACTCACTGCATAATTGGAGCAATTCAAACGTGCAAATGTGATGGCTGGTGACCTCACAGGCCTTCATGGACACAGCAGTGGAGGGGAGCAGCAGACATGAAGGATTACACTAGCTGGCTGTGAATGTTGGAGGGCTCAGTTGTCCAATGGGAAAGAGCGACTGGCCAGGAGCCATCTTGGAGATGAGCTGGGTTGGCTGAGCTCAGAATTCAGACCTGCTGCCAGCTCCATTTGTGGCACCAAGCTGGGCTCGGGCCCACAGAAAGTGCTTAGGCAGCAGCTGAACAAGTGGCTTCAGCCAGAAGGTACAGATTCACTGAGATTATCCACTACCCTGTCAAAAAGCTATTGCTGGTTTGCTGGGATAGATCAGCTTGGATTGGCACTCTGTCTCTATATCTTGTCTACAAAACACAAACCTAGAAGTGGACTTTTTTCTTTCGTTTGTTTCTTATTGTGGTAGTTTTTATTTCTACTTCTTTGTTTGATTTTGTTTTTATGAATGTGAATGTGGTTTCTAGCCTCTTTGTGGTTGTGGTTCTGTTCTATTCTTTTTACCTTTTCCTTCTCTCTTTCCTTCTAGTCTTTTGCACCAAAGTTAGCATGTAGAACTTCTTTTCCAAAGTCAGCGTGATCACCTTTTGTCCTTCAAACTTACTTTTCTTCCTCTTCTTCCACTTCTCTATTTTTTCCCTACCTCACTTTAAATTTTAACCCAAGGGTAAAACTGACATATGAAGGACTTGTATACTGCATTGTATACTGTAATTTTCTGGTTTTAGATTTTGTTATTTTACCACAAATCTAATTCATATGGTTTAAAGTGGCAAATCAATGCTTAGCTCAGTTTGTCATTTTCTAGGCTGCATTTGATGCTGTGAGTATCACTAGAGTCAAAAGTGACATAATTGTTCTAAACAACTGTTTCTCCTTGTATTCCATGACTGAGGCTGACTTAAGAGTCAGAGAAAATATGATGGCATAGTGCCAAAGAACCAGGGATTGGGCCATCCAAGTAACAACTTCTCATTTCCAACAAATTGAAGAGGGAGGATCTTCCAACAGACTCAAAACCTAAAAATCAGCTACACCTGAAGATACCACACAGAAGTAGTCATTACCTATAAAGCAACCCACCACATCTGCTGATGAGCAGGTTCTTTCCTAGAAGCACAATTTAAAAGCATCACCCCAAGAATTAAACTAAAAAAAGAAAATGAGAAGTTACTTAAACAAGATGCAACTCCTTTGGTAGACATCCAGTTCACCAAAGGCAAACCCAACCTGAGTGAGATGGAACAATTTGAAAGCCTCCTACCTGGCCTCTCTGAAGTGATAACAACAAACCAATTGAAAGAGGCTCTGGAAAAAAATCACATCAGAAATAATTTTTCAGATAACTGCAGAGATAGTGTCCATAGTGAAGACCATGCTCAGTAACTGGTACACACCTGAAATCCCCAGCACTCTGGAGGCTGAGGCAGGAGGGTCACTATGAGTTTAAGACCAGCCTGGGCTACATAAGTGAGTTTGAGGCCAGCCTGAATTACATAATGGGACCCTGCCTCAAAACACAAACAAACATGGGCCATGGGTGTATTAGGCTGCATAGCGCCTACCTGGCCAAGTACAAGGTGGTGAGTTTGATCCCTTGTACCAAAAACAAAACAACAACAACAAAAAAGAATCTATAATGTTTGTATTGTTTTGGCCAACTGCACACTGTTCCTAGTTACAACATTTGTAAAAATATGCTTCCTCGACTAAATTCTTCTGGTTACAGAAAAAACATTTCAATTTATTCACTATTCTGATGCAAAAATACACTTTAGAAAAATTTAAAACTTTTATATATATTAAAAAATTACATTAAGATTACATTAAGATAAACTATGGGGAAAAGAAGGGAAGTGGAACTCAGTTCAATCTCATCTGTCCCAGGGTGAGGCAATTTTGCAGTGATGCAGTCTTCATCCATAAAGCGGAAAACTAAAATCTTTGTTTTCCTAAATACTTTCTATTTTCATAGTCTTTCCTTTGAATTCCATGTGGGAGCACAGCTCCATAACCTCTGGGAGTTGGAATCCATAATCTGGTTCTGAATGTACCAAATATTATCTTTTTTCAAAATTCTATTGGAAAGGCTAAAGCAAAACGTCCTACTCCAGCTCAGGTTCTTCCTCTCAATAGCACATGTTGCTTGAGAGACCCCTCTATTTTGCAGAACTCACATCTGTTGATGAGCAGGTTCTTTCCTAGAAGCACAAGGTCCGAGCACTTATTGAGGTCTAGATTATTTCAACACTACACTTTTACACTCTATAGTCAAGGAGGCACAAGTGTGTCTCCCCATCACATCTATGATATCTGAAGAGAAGGCTACCTGCCTGCAGCCTATCATAGGTCCTCGTATACAGTGAACAAGGGAAGCCCTGTCAATATGAACAATCAAAATACCAGTGACATGCTGATGTTCCTTTATAGTATTGTGTACTTAACATTTTAAATGTTAAGGAAAATAAAGAGCCTTGAGGAAGAACCTGAGACTGTCTGAGCCAGGGTGGTATAGTGCTATCAGAAAATCCCATCACCTCATTTCCCTGAGGAGGCTCAAAAGCAAGCAACCAAGTTGTGTGATCTTATGTCAGATCTAATAACCTAAGAGTTGTTTATGGTAGGACTAGGGGCCAGCATTTTCCTCGGTAAAGAAGGGTATAAAGTAGATAGATTTCCAAGATTTTTTTGGGTTTTGAGATCTCATGTCTGTTTTATAAACTCAAGTGAACTCAAGTAGTAAGTCTGAGCATTTCACTATAGAACTCATGAAGTATTTCACTGTAAATGTACACAGAGTGAATCAGAAAACAAGGTTATTGGTTTTCTTTGTTTGTCTGTCTGTCTGGGTTTTTTGTTTGTTTTTGTGGTACTGGGAATTGAATCCAGGGCCTTCCCACTGACCTTTCTTTTTTCTTTTCTTTCTGAACAGCATCTCACTATACAGTTTAGGTTTGGCCTTGAACTCCCTAAGGAATCCAGGCAGGCCTCAAACTCATAGCAATTGTCTTGTCTTAGCCCCCCAAGTATCACTACAGGCATGCACCATCACACTCAGCCCTTTTCAAAAATTATTTTGAGACAGGTTCTCACTAAGTTGCCCAATCAGTCTGCTAGAATGCTGAAGTTACTGGTATGCATTTCCTTATCTGGCAGAAGGCTTTTTAAAATTAAAACAAAAAATGAGGACCACAAGATGCCGCAAGTTCTCCAGGAATACATTAACTTACCCTTAACTGATCAAGCTTCTCTCGTATCTGAATGAATCCCAAATGTAACTTTCCCCCAAAGTGGTCTGCCAGACGGCGGTCGTTGTCATGAAGACCAAGGTAGGCTGAACAGACCTCGCAGACACGTAGCTTTTGCTGTTGAAAACTGGATGCAGGCATGGAATTTCTGTATTCTTCCTGGAAAAAGGCAAGGGAGAGATAAGGGTACAGTTTATAGAACTGCCATCATATATCTACCTCCAAAAAAAAATATCTGATGTGACAAGAAAGGTGAAGCTTTTTGTAGATGTGGCACTGGGAATTAAATCAATTATGCCCAAACTTTGTAAAAATTTTGATGAGAGTTTTAAAATGTTGGAATCACAGGAATGTGCTACCATGTCCTGCTATAGATGAATTTTATTTTTGTTTCGTTTTAAAACAGGATCCGACTATGCAGCCTAGGTTGGTCTCAGATTCATGGTGATTCTCCTACCTTAGCCTCTCAAATACTGGGTTACAGGCATGTATCCCTATCACCATGCCTGACATAGTCCTTTTAAACTGAACAGGAAGGCTGGGGATATAGCTCAGTAGCAAAGCACTTTCCTCTCAAATGTAAGATCATGAGTAAGGTCAAACTCATGATCCCCAGTATCAAAAACAAAAACAAAAACCCAACACATAAACTGAACATAAATCTATAATTATTTTAAAATAGGAAGCATAATTAGCTGGGCATGGTGGTGCATGCCTAATAATCCCAGCACTCCAGAGGCTGAGGCAGGAGGATCGCTGTGAGTTCAAGACCAGCCTAAGCTACAAAGTGAGTTTAAGGTCAGCCTAAACTTTTATAGTGTGAAATCCTGTCTCAAAAAGACAAACACGTATAATTGAAAACACAGTAAGTCTGGTAACATAGCTCATTGTTAAAGCACTTGCCTAAAGGACCTGGGTTCCATCTCTAGCACCAGACAAAAAAATAAATATAAATTGTCAAATAATTCCTGAAATCCTGCTGACTAACTAACTGAAGGCCACTGTCAAGGATTACCTGTTTTTTCAAATGACAAAGTATCATAAAACTGTGACTTCTAAGCCTTGCCTGCCGAAGAGAGAAGCCTTAAGACTACTGAACATCTTGTCTGCTACTGAAAGCAGAAAGAATTCCAAAGATGCTGCATTGCAACAGAAATGAACATTACCAGATTCTATCCACCCATGTGCCTTCTCTTATTTTCTGTGAACTTAACAAAATTTGTTTGCTCTGAGTAACAAAATTAATTTTAAAAAATATAGCTGCGCCTTAAAACTAGTCCAAATAGTCAACTCTATCAAATTAACATTTCACTTTTCCTAAAACATTTCATCCACCAACCTCAGCTTCTTTTTTCTTTGCACGAACTTTCTCAACTTCCATAAGAATCTTCTGAGATTCATCCACATTTCCTTCAGCTCCTAGCTGCTCGGCTTTGGCAAGTAATTTTCCTATTTCTTCATTTAACTCATGTACTTTTTCTGCCTGAAGGGAGAAACAAGGTAAGTATACACCTAAAAACAAAAAAACTGAAAAACAAAAACAAGTATTTTTCTTGTAGCATTTCTTTAGCATTGAGAAGAAACCCAAAAAGAAACTTATTTCCACTGAAGAGGAGGGTCAGACAATGGAGCTGATGCTCAGGCCAGTCCCCTACAGAACTCCCTTCTTCAGTCCACTCGGAGAAATGCACCAGTTTAAGCATTTACCTACTAATTATTTTGATTAGGATGTTAGTAAGTACTCTTGGGCGCAATCCCTAGTACTGCACTATTTAAGTCGGGGAGGTTGTCTTAGAGAGGAAAAGGAATATGAAAAAAAGGACACAGATGCAGCTCTTAGAGGTTGAAATAACACATCAATGTTTGGTTATAGTTTCACATTCTTACCAGGCACCACAGCTAAGGTAGCATACGGCACCCACCCCAGAAGCATCCTATCAGTGCTGGCAGTGAGTTAAGGACCAGCAGCATACCCAATATTCACACACTGACTTATACCAAAGCCACCAGATATACCTTTGCAGAAACTTCTGCACTGATCTCCTCCTGTGTTTCTGCCAGTCGTTTCTTGGCAAGCTCAGTCCTCCGATCACACTCTGCAATAAAGGACTCCAAATGATCCATTGCCTAGCTCAGAAAAAAGCAAAGTTGATAGTTATGATCAGGGATAGAAGATCTTAGAGCCCATTTGTGTAACAGAAATACATGCCTAGGTTTCTTAACCCCTGAAGAGTCAATGGCAGTTAATACATTCATAATCATGTTAAATTCAGCCATTTTCTTAAACCAAATCACTGGGAGAAATATGGTCTTCTCATCTGATGTAGTTGTATATTTCTCTAAAACTTACAGAAGGGCCTCCAACTCCCAGTAACACTTCTGAAAGTCTAGGGGAACATAGTTATCACTGTTCTCTGAGAACAGAAAAAGCTGAATAAAGATCAGTCTTAGGGGACCTTCTAGAGAAGTATAGGTGATATACACACTGCACTCAACACTTCCTGTAACCTGCATAAATACTATTTCCTCATGTATGTTCCCTCGTCTACCTAAAAAATGAAACAGTAAGCTGGGTACAGTGATGCATGCCTGTAATCCCAGACACTTGGGGAAGGCTGAGACATGAGGATCCCAAATTCAGTAACAGCTCTGGCAACTCAACAAGACCATCTCCCAAAAAAGAAAAAAGAGAAAAAAATTTTGGAAAACTACAAAGTTTAGTTTCTGCTCACTATCTAAAATACATGTTAAAGTTAATCTGCTATAACTAGGTAAAAGCCAACATAACTTCATATAAACATACATACAGGGCATCAATTTTCAACTATCACTTGGTATCGAGGAACAAGCATCTTCCATATTACACCATGAGCCAGCTAGCCAATAGCAGCATGTGTTAAAATACCACAGTCAGCATGTTTGGCAGTGATGACAGTGATCTATTACCAAACAACAGAGGTAAGCAAATTTGGGGTGGAGACAACAGGACAACAGACCAAGGAGTGATTTACATCTTCTCTTCTAAAATGGACAGTAGAAAGTAGGCTAGCTGTTGGAAGGTACTCTAGAGACCAGTGTCAATCTGAAATGATCAGAGGAATCTCCTCAGAAATTTTAAGTATTTTCTTCAAATAATCACATTTGAGAGTAGCTACTGATGGAGAAAAGGCTACCTCATGGTACCCTATCTCTTGGAGACTAGTAAAGGCAAAGCATACTAACTCTTAAGTCTGACTACCAAATTGTACTCTATAACCACAGAGCTCAAAACTCCTGTCAGTGGTCAACCTAATACTCATAACAATTTCATTCAGTATATTCAAGCCAAGCAATGGGAGAAGCAAATGATCTAGGCTGTATTTGCTAATATACATTTCACACTATTTTCCCCAAATATGAAGTGTGGGTCACCTGTGTTGGGATAGTTCCTAACACATAAGTTTGAGGTGACCCAGGTTCACTCACTCAGCCTGTGTACCTCTACTGTGCCCCAGGCAGGGCATGGTGCACAAGGCAGACTTAGAATCAAATCCAAGGCCACCCTCAGCTACACAAGTTCAAAAACAACAACAAAACCCCCCAAAATTCAAATAAAATAGATCTCTGGGGGGTTTCTATGTTTCATTTTTTTTTGAGACAGGCTCTTGCTATGTAGTTTAGGTCAGCTTTGAACTCATTAGTAGCCCAGATAGCCTCACAATCATGGCAATCCTCCTTGCTTTTTCAACTGTTTACTTTGGATTTTTGAGGTATTATTATTTTTGAGGTATTATCAAGGCTGGCTTGAGTTCAGTGATTCTCTTGCAGGATTAGCCTCCTGGGTCCTGGTATTATTACAGGCATGCACCACCATGCTTGGCTTCAAGTGGTTTTTGGGAGGTGTTTTCTTTTCGCTGGGGGGTTGTGTTTTGAGACAGGATTTCACTATGTAGTTCAGGATGGCCTTGAATGCACTGGTAGCCCTGGCTAGCCTTAAACTCAAGGCAATCTTGTCTCAGCCTCCTGAGTGCTGTGACTATAGATGTATACCACCACACTATGCCTCAACTGTTTTGTAAAATATGCCCACCTACCATCCAAGTAAGTTCTACAAATAGGATACCTTATTGTTTCATTTGTCAGCAAAGTCTCAGATTTCAGACTTTCAGCCAGTCCTTGGAACTGGAAACAATAAGCTTCTTGGAACTGCTCTGAAATACTCTTTTAAAAAGCTAAACAATCAAAGTCAGTGTTTTTGTTTTTTCTTGAGACAGGGTCTGGGTATGTACAGGTTGGCCAGGATTCATTATGTAATACAGGCTGCATTTGAACTTGCAGCAATCCTGCCTCACTCTCCCAAGTACTAATGTGCTAGGATTACAGGAATATACCACCACAGCTAGCCTTCCAAGGTCAGTCTGTAACATGTAAGAATTATCCTCTTAAACCAGGCACATTCTTGTAATTCTAGTGCTCAGGATCCTGAAGGAGGAAGATGGCACAAGTTCAAGGTCAGCCTCTGCTACCTGAACTGTATAGAAAGACCCAGACTACAAAAACAATGAACTAGTTAATACTACATAACTAAGAAAATAGCTTCTTTTTTAAAGTTTTTTTGAGACAAAACCTCACTATTTAGTGAAGCTCAGGCTGACCTCAAATTCACAGGGATCCTCCTGCCTTAGCCTCCTCACCTCAGTACTAGGATATAGGTGTGCCCTACCAAATTCAGCTGAAAAGCACTTTTTTTTTCTTTTTTTTTGTCTTTTTCGTTTTTTTATCAGTACCAGGGATCGAACTCATGACTGCCTGCTTGCAAGGCAGGCACTTATGCCACTGAGCTAAATCCCCAGCCCAAAAAGCTTTTTTTTTTTTTTAAAACTGTTTTTAAACTGAGCATGATGGTACACACCTGTAATCCTAGCACTCTGGAGATAAGAGGCCAGAGAATCACAAATTCAAGCCTAGCCCAATCAACTCAGCAACATTTCAAGACCTTGTCACAAAATAAAAAGGCCCGTGGGCATGGTGCCACATGCCTGTAATGCCAGCACTTGGGAGGCTGAGGCATAAATACCACAAGTTCAAGGACAGTCTGGACTACACAGTGAGTTCAAAGCCAATCTGGTCTATTTTATGTTCAAGTTAGATCACAGTCACTGTCTTTCAATATAGAAGTAATTCAAGCACATTCACACACTACTGAAGTATAATTTAACAATTTAAAGGTCTAGTAAATATGGGTGAAAACTGTATCTTTATGAAACCACTATTTTGCCAGGCACGGTGGCACACACTTGTAATCTAGCACTCTGGCATGAGGCAGGATTGAGGCAGGAGAATGGCCAGAACTTCAAAGCCAGCCTGAGCTACATAGTAAGAACCTGACACCAAAAAAAAAAAAAAAAAAAAAAAAAAGAACAAAAACAAAAAACAGAAACCACCATTTTTTTGGCAGCATTGCGGGGACACGACCAGGGATTGAATTCAAAACCTTATGTTTGCCAGGCAGGCACTTGGGCCGCTGAGCTAAATCCCCAGACCTTTAGATTTACATTTTTTCTTTTCTTTTCTTTTCTTTTTTAAAGAAAATACTATTTTAAAAATACTTGAGGAGGAGGAAAGGAAAGAAGGGGACAAGAGGAAAAAAGGATAACACAAGGCAAAATGGATACACTTCTATAAATAAGAAGAGGGACTAGGGGCTGGGGAATTTAGCTCAGCGGCATAAGCGCCTGCCTTGCAAGCAGGCAGTCGCGAGTTCGATCCCTGGTACTGATAAAAAAACGAAAAAGACAAAAAAAAAAAAAAAAAAAGAAGAGGGACTGAAGATGAGAGAATAGGGAAAAAAGCAGCAGCAAGACATACAATGTACAGGTACAAATTCTCTATGATGAATATTATTATATATATATATATATATATATATTTAAAAAAATGTACCACAAAAAGAAAATTCAAAGGTTAAAAATGCCCAGTCACTGGGTATGGTGGTAGTCCTAGTGTCCAGGGCTTATGAGGCCGAGTTGGAGGATCATTGTGAGTTTGAGACCAGCTTGAGCTACAAAGTGAGTTCAAGGCTAGCCCTAACTATATAGTGAGACCATCTCAAAAAACAAAACAAAAAAAAGGCCCAGGGCTGGGGATTTTGCCCAGCAGCATAAGCTGCTTGCCTGGCAAGTGCCAGGTTGTGATTTCGATCCCCGGTACCAAAAAAAAAAAAAAAAAAAAAAAAAAGTCCACATTGTTGTCATTTTACTTTTGTTGTTTTTTACTTCCTGACTTTTGCTTTTTCTCTGTAAAAAAAGAAAAATGCTCAGAGGTTTTTTGCCAAAATGGCACCTACAGCAAAGAAAGAAGCTCCAGCCCCTCCCTGGGCAAAAAAGTTTAAACCAAGTATTGAAAACCAGGTAACACAATGCCTGTCTGTAATCTAAGCACTCTTGGAGGCTGAGGCAAAAGGACCAAATTTGAGTACAACCTAGATAATTTGTCAGACTGTTTCAAAATTAAAAAATGGGCCGGGGAGGTATATCAGTTTGAAGGTCCTTGAGTTCCATTCCCACTCCTCCTCAAAAATCTTTTAAGCTTAGTGGTTTAAATAGAACTTACTCTAAATTGTGATTTGTTGGGGGAAACACTTTGAATTTTGATTCTCACTGGATCCCTCAGGCTCCTCTTGATCTTCATTCAGGAACCTGAACAGCATTAAACCCTTTTGCTGAACTCTGATCATGCTAGTAATGGCCAAACAGGGATAAAAAAGAATTTAAATGAAGTGACTCTAAATCATGTGTTCTCAATGGGGCAAGAGTGAAATCTGGTTTTATAGGGTGAAAAAAATCTCATTGTCCAACGCTTTGTAGTGTGACAAACAATCACAGTGTAGAAATGGATATGCAAGTAACATCAAAATGGATACACTAGTGACATCAAAATTTCATAGGAGTTGATGCAAAGTAATACCTTAAGTAATCCCATCACTGAGAGATAGTGAGGTAGAAGGATCCACAAGTTAAAAGATTCTCAGCTGATCAACTGAGACTCTTGAAAGTGGGAGCCTGGATAAAGTTAAATGAATTGTCAAAAAAAAAAAAAAAGAAAGAAAGAAAGAAAGTGGGAGCCTAGGGGCTGGGGATTTAGCTCAGCAGCATAAGCACCTGCCTTACAAGCAGGCGATTGTGAGTTCGATCCCCGGTACCGATAAAAAAAAAAAAAAAGTGGGAGCCTATTCTGAAGAATGTAGCTAAAGAACTCCTGCATTTGATCCCCAGTGAGGGGAGGGGACTAGAGCCAGGTATAATGGCACATGCCTGTAATCCCAACACTCAGGAGGCTAAAGCAGGATTGCTGGGAATTTGAGACCAGGCTGGGCTACAAAGTGAGCTCAAGGCCAGCCAGAACTGCATAGTGAGATAGTCTCAAAGACAAAAAAAAAAAAAAAAAAGCTACTCTCTATTTACTAACACATATAAACTATCATATACACATATAAACTAGCCAGGTATGTTGGCTCACACCTGTAATCGCAGCACTCGGGAGGCTGAGGTGGGAGGATCATTGCGAGTTCAAGACCAGCCTGGACTACAAAGGGAGCTCAAGGCCAGCCAGAACTACTTAGCGAGACCCCAATCTCAAAAAAGACAAAAAGACTTCCTGGACAACAAGATAGATAACAGCAGCTATGGAGGCTCTCTGAGATTGCCAGCTTAGAATCCAGGAATGGTGTGGTGTGAGGAGTCCTAAGCAAGGGGAGATATACCCTGCCGACCCAGGAACGAACTAAGCTGAGAGAAACTACTGGAAATGCAATCCTGGTGCTATAACTGGAACAGATAAAATCTCAGCGCAGAACCTGGAACCTGCAATTTGAATTTTCTGCCATCGCTGCTGCGTCTGAATCGGCACAGCAGGGAGAGAGACGCGTAAAAGCTCTGAGAGTGGGAATCGGCAGAGTTGAGAGTGGGTCTGGCGGGGAGCCCTACACCAACCTGCAGTGAGTGAGAGGAACTGGGACCCTTCCATAGACTAGGAGGCTCCAACAGAGGACATTCTGGGACCGGGCAGACTAGCCAAAACAGGACGCTGCAGTGACTTTAGTCGCATATTCCCCACTCAAGCAGGATTGGTGGGGAGCCCTGACCTCGGTGACGCTGCAGACTAAGACCCAGTAGGCTAGCCCAAACCAGCTCCCAGTGCCTGGTGGTGCACCCTAGCAGTGAAGCCTTCAGTAGGGTGACCTGGAGGAGCGGGCCCAGCAGAGGCTGCCCAGGTCTGTGTCTCCCTAGTACACTGCAGTGGGCACTAACACCTAGCCGGTGCGATTCAAACAAACTGTAACCAACAAAGAATAAAAACTGGGCCTCCTATATATGCTTATATGGAAGGAACAAAAAGTATGGGAAGAGGGAGCAACAAGAAAGGGTCCTCGGTCCCCAATCCTGAGAACACTGATCCAGGAAAGGTAAATGCAAAGGAGAATGAGGACAGAAAACATGCAATATCAGACACAGCACCAATAGATATAAAGTGGTATCTCCGGAGCCTCATAGACGCAAAGTGAAGTATTTAACAAAGTAAAGCAAGATATAAGTAGAATAGTTAAGAGAAATGCTAAGCACTGCCCAAGAAAAAACAGATGGTGGAATGGAGGAACAGAAAAAAAAGGGAATGGGGCTGGGGATTTAGCTCAGTTGCATAAAGCACCTGCCTTGCAAGCAGGCAGTCGTGAGTTCAATCCCTGGTACCAATAAAAAGGAAAAAGACAAAAAAAAAAGAAAAAGAGAAAAAGGGGAGAATTGTTTGATGGAGAAAATAGAGAAAACACAGACTACATGAAGCAGGTTCAAAGAGATTACCAGAAAACTAAAAACTCCTTTGAAAGCTGGCATAACAGCTTGAAAGAAACTAAGGACAGATTATCTAAACTGGAGGACAGATTTGTAAGGTGGGAGTATGAAATGAAAAACTTCTTAAAAATAACAAGGAAACGAAGAGCAATAATACAAAGGCTAGAAGATGATAAGAGGATCTATCACTTAAGAATTAAGAACATAAAAGAAGTAGGGACACAAAAAAATGAACTACAAAGGCTATTCACAGAAATAATCTAGGAGAATATCCTTAATTTAGCAAAAGGTAAAGATACTCAGATGTGGGGCTGGGAATTTAGCTCAGCGGCATAAGCACCTGCCTTGCAAGCAGGTGGTGGTGAGTTTGATCCCCGGTACCAGAAAAAAAAAAAAAGATATTCAGATGTATGAGACATACAGGACCCCGGCCACCTACAACCCAAACAGAGCTACACCTAGGCATATAATAATCAAAATTCCAGAAATCCAATATAAGAACAGAATAGTAAAAGCCGTCAGAGACAAGAAACAGATCACTTATAAGGGAACATCCAACAGAATTACAGCAGACTTCTCGGCACAAATCAACAAATCACGAAGAGCGTGGGGGGAAATAATTCAAGCTTTGAAAGATAATGACCTCCAGCCAAGATTGATATATCCTGCACAACTGTCCCTAGAAATTGATGGAAAAACAAGGTGCTTCCAGGATAAAGAGGAACTAGGGGAATTTGCAACCACCAATTCAACTCTACAGAAAATACTGCAGATATTCTAAAAAAGAAAAAATGCTAATGACAGAAAAAGAGCTCAACAGAAATGAGGCAGAGAAGGTTCAATGGCAGGAACAGCTATTTTGGAGAAAACAAGACATCATAATAGCTAGTGCTGATTTAATATCATCTTGTTTTGAAGTCCCATCAAGCTTTTGTTCTTCTATCTCCATTGGTCTTAACATATTGTATTTTACTGGATTTTATTACATGTGATAATATAAACAAAAACTTTTATAGGCAAGGAGATTATACAGAAACCATTGTTCATTTTGTTAGTTGATTCTAAATACCCTGTAACACTGTCATTCTCTTGAATGGTTTTACATTGTCTTGATATGTTTGATGCTACAGTATATAAAGTTATACTCAAAGATTTCAAGGAAATAGACACTATGGTAACTACCTTTATGTCGGGATTATCTTGTAGTGAAATACTATTTTGCTTAAATGGTTATGTTTTGACCTGCGCTGTTTTGTTGTTATGCCCTCTTTTATCTTAATCTCCTTTTTTTATTACTTATTTTTATTTTTCTTTTTAATTAAGGAAAAAATTAATTTAAAAAATAGCAGGATATATTATAGTAACCCACTTTGATTTCCTATTAACTTGATTTGAAACCCTGTATTGCTCTCACCATCTTGCTTTGACTGATTTTCCTCTATTCTGTTTTGCTTGATAGTACCAACTTCGAAAGTATAGGCAACAACTGTGAAGACAATAAGATTCATTATGACGCCCATTCTGGTTGACTATTATCTTCTTTTGAAGTCCTGTAATGTCTCCAATGTTTTGGTTTTATTGGCTTTGTTCTTTACTGTTTTGTCCAATTTTATTATACCTGATATAGGTAATTCTTTTTAAGATAGCAAGAGGCATTATGGTAACCATTGTTGATCACCTTATATTTTGTTTATACATTATGTATTATGTCCATCCATTTGACTTGACAGACTCTGTTCTGTTTTGTCATATTTGGTTGTTTTGTTTTTTTTTTTTTTTTTTTTTTTTTTTTTTTTTTTTTTTTTTGTCTTTTTCTTTTTTTATCGGTACCAGGGATTGAACTCACGACCGCCTGCTTGCAAGGCAGGTGCTTATGCCGCTGAGCTAAATCCCCAGCCCCGTCACATTTGGTTTTACTCTCTTCAAAAAAAAAGTAGTAAGAACTGTGGGAGTAATAAAACCCAAAATACGTAATTGTCATTCTACAAAAGAGAGGACAAGAAAGTGCTCTAAAGGACATAACTGCATGTATATTTAAGTGTATAAGATAGATAACCATATTACTGAGTTTTGTTGGATCACTGAACAGAACTGTTTGCAGTCTCATTGTTTAAATGTCCACTTTATATGTTTTAATTTTGTAACCTGAACAACTATTTCTAACATGACAATATGTAATCTATTAACTAGTGATTTCCTACTGTTTATTTTTTCTGAAATTCTGTACAACTTGGACCCTTTTTCTGTTTTTTTTTTTTTTTCTCCTTAAATAAAATTTTAAAAAAAGACAAAAAAATATTTAAAAAAAATAGTACTGGTCATACTGTAGTACTCAAAGTGGTCAGATAACAAATGTCTAATTTATTTATTTTTATTTTTTTGAGACAGGGTATCACTAGGTAGTTCAGGCTGACCTCAAATTCATGATGATAGTTCTGCCTCAGCCTTCCAAATGCTGAGATTATAGGTGTGTACCACCACACTCAGTGTAATTTATTATTTTATCACATAATTTATGAACATTACATTATTGTTAGTTTTATCTTTGGTACTCTGTAGTAGGGACAAATCAACAGCAGTGAAACTTACATCCAATTCAAAAAACAGGTCTCTCTCTTTACTTGCAATCTCATAATCTGCTCGGAGGGCCAAGTCGTGGATCTTGGTACATTCTCCTAAATCCATACGCTGTGGAGAAAAAAAAGTTTACACATGAATAGCTACCCACTATACAAAGCATGATTTGGTATTTCAACCCTGGCCAAAATAAACAATATGTTTTTATGTATATGTACCACTTCTCCACAATAAATGTAATTATTACATACCACAGACTTGTACGAATAAGAATTTAAAAATTTTAGAAAAGTAATATACTTTTTTGTATACTGAAACTCTTGATATGAAAATTAGGAAATAGAAGCACAACCTAGTGGCATATACGGGGTGGGGGGGGGGTAAGACTGAGGCAGAAAGATCACATGGGGAGATGTTTCTCCACTGATTACTGCAATAGGCACTAGTTTTAATCCCCAGTATGATCAATAGAGAGAGAAAACAGAAATTGGGCTTTGAAAATTACAATTCAAAACTTGGTTTTGTGTAGATCTTTCTATCCTATAGGAAAATAAAGCAAACGTTGGATTCAGACCTTAATGAATTCTCTAAACATTTTCCTAACCTGGTAAATCACCCTGGACATATTACTAGCCAGATTAGGCCAACATGCAAAACAAAAGGCTCTATCACTAAAATGAAATGACCTGTATCAGTAAGATTAGCTTGATGTGCTATTATATATTCTTACCACATATGAAATAGATTAACAGTGCTCTTTTGTGTGTGTGCATGTGTATGTGTGTGTTTTAAACAGGGTCTCATTATGTAGCCCTGGCTAGTCTTTATTTTTTGATGGAGTCGTGCTACACCCTTAAGGCTGGTGTTCAACTACGAATTCCAGCCTGGCCTAACTTGAAGCAATCCTAACTTAGCCTCTTGAGTGTTAGGATGATTGTCATGTACCACCCACCAAACCTGGCTGTCCAGGCTGGTCTTGAACTTGTGATCCTCTTGTCTCAATCTTCCTACTAAAATTACAGGTACATGTCATTACATGTAACAGTGCATATCCTGAGCACAGGACTCTGGAGGTAACCCCACTCTGGTCATCTAAATAGGGAAGTTTATCAGTTAAAGATCATAGTACCAGGAGCTGGGGATTTAGCTCAGTGGCATAAGTGCCTGCCTTGCAAGCTGGCAGTCGTGAGTTCAATCCCTGGTACCGATAAAAAATGAAAAATGAAAATGAAAAAGACCAAAAAAAAAAAAAAAAGATCATAGTACCAAGTTGGGCGTACAGGCACATGCCTATAATCCCAGCACTCAAGAAGCTGAAGCAGGAAGATGACTTTGAGTTTGAGACCAGCCTGGGTTACAAAATGAGCTCAAAGCCAGCCTGAACTGCGTAGTGAAACCCTGTCTCAAAAAGACAAAAAGAAAAGTGGGGAAGGATGCTGGGGATTTAGCTCAATGGCATAAGCACCTGCCTGGCAAGTGGGAAGTCATGAATTCAATCCTCAGCACACAAAAAAGATCACAGTACCAAGTTATAAAGCATAAATTAACAAAACCTAGCATCCTACTAGACAATATCTCTATTAGACAAGAGTGTATGTCTATACAACTACTAAAAAAAAGAATGTTGGAGTCCATTAACTTGTACAAGCTCAAACTATAACCATGTCCAAAAATACTTTAAAAACTTTCTGGGTTAAGCACATCAAGGTGGCACATGTCTGTAATCCTAAGTACTTTCCCAGCCTGAGCTACACAGCATGACCCTGTCTCAATTAAGAAATTTTCCTGGGTTATAAAAATTCTTAAAAATTCTAGGCAAATTATAGAGGCTTGCAGTGCCTGGTGCCTACACTGCAGTTTTATAGAAAAGCATCTGCCTTGCTGGGGATGAGTTCAAAGCCCATCTAGACTATGCAGTGAAACCGTGTCAAAAAAGAAAGGAAGTGGGGCTGGGGATTTAGTTCAGCAGCCTGGCAAGCGTTGAGGTCATGAGTTTGATCCCAGTACAAAAAAAAAAAAAAAAAAAAGAGAGGGGGAGGGAGAAAGAGAAAACGTGTCACATTCATACAACATCCTTCAGTTTCACCAACAATAAAGCTAAATAAAGCTGGGCAGACAATAATACAATTTGTCACTGTGATAAAAGAATCACTGTTCTCCTTTATTACTCTACTCTGAAGCCTGATGGGCCTCATGTTATTTTGTTGGTTACTCAGAGGATCTAGAGGAAGTGCAACACTGGTTCTAGAAACAAAGCTACGACTAAAATTAACATCCCTGTAAATCTGACAACTTTTGCTTCATTCATTCTTCTAAATACCAGATACTGCTCCTTATAGTTTTTATAAATGAAACCTGAAAAATGAGTGACAGCTATCAAGGAACTAATAAAGGCTCTCCATTCAAAGAAAAAACACACAGAAAAGTAAAGAGGCCAGGCAGTCTCATGCAACTCTGCAAGTTCCAGGCCAGCCTGGCCTGAAATGCACAGCAAGACCCTGTCTCAAAAAAGACAAAAAGAAAAAAAAGAAAAGGAAAAGGAAAAGGAAAAAGAAACAGGGAAAAAGAGAAAGAGGAAAGAAAAAAGAAAGAGCACTAGTTGGGCATGGTGGCGGCCATGTAATTACGGCACACTGGGAGATTGAGGCAGGAGTGTTGCAAATCTGAGCCCACCTTGGACAACTCAAGTCACTTAAGAAAAAGGCCAGGGGCTGGGGATTTAGCTCAGCGGCATAAGCATCTGCCTTGCAAGCAGGGAGTTGTGAGTTTGATCCCTGGTACCGATAAAAAGGAAAAAGACCAAAAAAAAAAAGAAAAGAAAAAGGCCAGAGGGGCTGGGGATTTAGCTCAGTGGCTCAAGCACTTGCCTGGCAAGTGTGAGGTCATAAGTTTGATCCCCAGTACCAAAAAAGCCAGAAATGTCAGTCATTGTGCCAAGGCCCTTTGCAAAAAGGAAGAAAGCACTACAACCTTAGGTAATTTCCATTCTAAGAAGTTAAACTTTTTAAGTTAAGAAAACAAAGACATAGGGTTTAGGGTACAACTCAGTGGTACCTATAGATTCAAAGCCCTGGGTTCAATGTCAGGAAATAAAATTTACCACTGTATTCTCTGATATGAGACTTTTCAATGAAAAGTCACTGCTAACAGGACTTTTGGTTTCCATGGTTCCCTTTTTTTAGATATACCACTACAACTTATCCAAGGAAGCAGTAAAGTATTGGCCATTTCTCTAATAGTCCAACTCTAATCATAGCTGAAACACTGCATTAACTCCTTCCAGTATGTTAAAGTGACTACTAAACCCAATGAGTCAGACCTTTTACTTTAAAACACCTGCGTTCACCACTCTAGCCTCTGATAATCTAACACGGTCGACAAGGAAAAGCACTAATGGTTCTGGAACCCTTAGGAAAACAAAGTTCTGCTGGTTCCAGTGGTATTCATCTATAAACCCAGTACTCTGGGAGGCCGAGGCAGGAGGACTGATTCTGAGTTGGCCAATGCAGCAAGACCGTCTCAAAATTTAAAAAGTAAAAAGGATTGGAGATGTAATTCAGTGCGAAGGTCCTAGGCTCAATCCCTATAAAACAAAAGTTTACTGAGACAAGCTATACCATCTTTCCTCCAGTTAACTACCTTATTCTCTCAAACATATTAATACTGCATTTTCTCTAAGCCCCTATAAAGTGATTTATTTCCATTCTTCAATTGCCTAGCTCCTATTAATGACGTTTGTTTGTTTTAATGCAAAGAGTTTAAACAAAAACTTGTATCTAGGGGCTCAGAATTTAGTCCAGTGGCATAAGAGCCTGCCTTGCAAGCAGGCAGTCGTGAGTTTGATCCCTGGTACCGATAAAAAAAAAAAAAAAAAATTAAAAGAAAAAACTTATATCTGAAATAGCCCTTAGCAAACTGAGGATTATAACCACTTTCTTGTACCGCAATATTCTGAAAAATCTATTCTCATTCCATTTCTGTTTTATTTTGTTTTGTTTTTTAGTACCAGGGATTGAACTCACAACCAAGCAAGCATTTGAACTGCTGAGCTAAATAAATCCCTGGCTGGTTTTGTTTTTTGAGACATGGTCATGCTGACCTCGAACTCTTGGTGATCCTCCTGCCTTAGTCTCTCAAGCATGTGCCACCATATCCTACTTTGTTCTGTTTCAACTTATTAAAAATCACAAGCTCCATCAAAGAGCTATCTTCTCATCTCTATGCAGCCCACAATAGCAAAACTCAGCACTTACAAACACCTCCACAAGAAATCCCAATCCTTATCCTCACTGACCTTCACAGCCACATTTACTCATTTTCATACCCAAGTACACAGCTCTCCTGGGCTGCCTCCTCCCTTTAAATCTACTGAGCTGCCCCTGTACAATCCTGAATGCTGGAAATGCTACTGAAACTGTAATTTCTCTTCATGCGATTCCACGGCCTCTGCCTTCCTGACCCCATCCAATTCATAGCCCACACACAGTTAGCAACATCACCTTTTGCCCTTGTGCTCTTAGCTCTGCCCAGAGCTTCACATGCCTGATCTTTTTAGGTCTCTGCTCAAATATCCCTAAGAGGGCTCTCCTCATCATTCTAAAAGTGGTGCACACCTATAATCCCAGGACTCGGAATGCTGCAGGCAGGTGGATCACTGGGAAACCAGCTTGGGCTACCAAGTGAGTTCATGGCCAGCCTGAAATACATAGCAAGATCCTGTCTCAAACAAAAACAAAAACAAAAACAAAACAAAATAAAAAAACTACCCACTGTCCATTCATTTACTTAGTGTCCACCTTCTTCTCCACTAGAATAAAGACTTTACTGCTACTGGCAATAGTATCTCCAGTGTCTAGCAGAGTAGGTATCCAATAAATGAACAATTGTGGGAACTGCCCTCCCACTGATTATTTTTCTTGCTAGTATCCAACGATACACTACACAGGGCTCTGCCAAGGTAAAATAGGTATATGTTCATCTGTTTCCTTTGACTTCTGCTGCGTATAATAGCCAATAATTGTAAATTATGCCAACTATAGGAAAAAACAACCCTTTGCTGGGTGTGATTAAACACCTATAACCCTAGCACTCAGGAAGCTGAGGCAAGTGCA